GAATGGGAAAAGATATTTGCAAATGACATATCGGACAAAGGGCTAGTATCCAAAATCTATAAAGAGCTCACCAAACTCCACACCCAAAAAGCAAATAACCCAGTGAAGAAATGGGCAGAAAACATGAATAGACACTTCTCTAAAGAAGACATCCGGATGGCCAACAGGCACATGAAAAGATGTTCAGCGTCGCTCCTTATCAGGGAAATACAAATCAAAACCACACTCAGGTATCACCTCACGCCAGTCAGAGTGGCCAAAATGAACAAATCAGGAGACTATAGATGCTGGAGAGGATGTGGAGAAACGGGAACCCTCTTGCACTGTTGGTGGGAATGCAAATTGGTGCAGCCGCTCTGGAAAGCAGTGTGGAGGTTCCTCAGAAAATTAAATATAGACCTACCCTATGACCCAGCAATAGCACTGCTAGGAATTTATCCAAGGGACACAGGAGTACTGATACATAGGGGCACTTGTACCCCAATGTTCATAGCAGCACTCTCAACAATAGCCAAATTATGGAAAGAGCCTAAATGTCCATCAACTGATGAATGGATAAAGAAATTGTGGTTTATATACACTATGGAATACTACGTGGCAATGAGAAAAAATGAAATATGGCCTTTTGTAGCAACGTGGATGGAACTGGAGAGTGTGATGCTAAGTGAAATAAGCCATACAGAGAAAGACAGATACCATATGGTTTCACTCTTATGTGGATCCTGAGAGGCTTAACAGGAACCCATGGGGGGAGGGGAAGGAAAAAAAAAAAAAAAAGAGGTTAGAGTGGGAGAGAGCCAAAGCATAAGAGTCTGTTGAGAACTGAGAGCAAACTGAGGGTTGATGGGGGGTGGGAGGGAGGAGAGGGTGGGTGATGGGTATTGAGGAGGGCACCTTTTGGGATGAGCACTGGGTGTTGTATGGAAACCAATTTGACAATAAATTTCATATATAAATTAAAAAAAAAAAATTCCAGCTGGAGTCTGTGCAGAAACTGATCACTTGATCCTAAAATTCATATGAAAATTCAAGGCACCCAGAAGAATCAATCTTGAAAAAGAACAAAGTGAGAGGACTCACACTTCCCAATTTCAAAATTTACTACAAAGCTACAGTAATCAAGATAGTGTGGTACTAGTGTAAAAAAAGACATATGGGCAAGTAAAAATGAACTGAAGAGTCCAAAAATAAATCCTCACATTTAGGTCAATTAATTTTTGATAGAGTGTGTAGACAATTAAATGGGGAGAAGAAACAACCTTTTGAACAAATGGATATCCACCAACAGAAGAATGAAATTGGATTCCTTCCTCATTCCATGTACAAAAATCAACTCAAAGTCCATTTTGAGACCAAAATGTAAAAGAACTAAATGTAAAAAGACCTAATGTAAAAGCTAACACTATAAAACTCTTACAAGAAAACATAGGTGTAAATCTTCATGACCTCCAATTAGACAATGACTTCTTAGACATGACACCAAAAGCACAAGCAATAAAAGATAACATTTATAAATTGAACATCATCAAAGTTAAAAATGTTTGTGCTTCAAAGGACACCACCAAAGATGTGGAAAGGCAACAACAGAACAGTAGCAAACGCCTCCGAATCAGGCATCTTATAAAGGATTTGTATCTAGAATATATAAAGAACTGTTACAACTCAACAATAAAAAAGACAAATAATCCAGTTAAAAAATATGAAAAGGAGGAAGGCCTGGTGGCTGTCGGTTAAGTAACCAGGTCTACTCAGGTCATGACATGAGTTCAAGCCCCACCTCGGGCTCTGCACTGACAGCTGTGAGCCTGTTGGGGATTCTCTCTCCCTCTCTGCCTCTCCCTGGCTCTCTCAGGCATGAGTGCTCGGCCTCACTCTCCCTCTCTGTCTCTCTCAAAACAAATAAACTTTAAAAAAAAAAATAGGAAAAGGAAATGAACAGACATTTCTCCAAGAAAAGATATGCAAATGACCAATGAGCAGGTGAAAAGATGTTCAACATCATTACCCATCAAGGAATTGCAAATCAAAACCAAAATGAGCTAACACTTAACACCAGATAGTAACAAGTGTTGCGGAGGATGCAGAGAAATTGAAACCCTAATATACAGCTAGTAAGAAAGAAAATGGTGCAGCTGCTGTGGAAAACAGCTTGGCAGTTTCTCAAGGTTAAGAAAGCTTTTTTTTCCCCCAAAGGTTAACAGCAATTCCACTTCTAGGTATATACCCAAGAGTTCAGAAAACCTATGTCCAAACAAAAACTTGTACAAGAATGTTCATAAGAGCATGATTCACAATAGCTAAAATGTCCATGATGAATGGATTTAAAAATGTGATACAGTAACACAATACATACTATTTAGCCATAAATATGAAATACTGATACATGCTACAACATAGATGAATCTTTAAAACACTGTCCTAAGTGAAAGAAGCCAATCACAGAGGGCCACATATTGTATCATTCTGTTTAAATGAAATGTCAAGAAGAGACAAAGAGAGACACGGTAGAAAGTATGCATTTTTTCAAATCATTTTTTTAAAGATTATGTTGTTCATTTATTTATATGCTATATCTTTCTAAATCCTAAAACTCTTCTTCTGAAATATTTTTAAAAGCACTTTCAAACACAAAAGCATGCAATGATCAAAGAGAAATAACCTGCAATTTTAAAACAGCTAAGGAAAACTCATAAATGTCAAAGGCAGAACATGGATTTGTCTTTGTTGAAGGTTATCAAGTGACCAAAATTCCCTTCAAGTTAAATTCTGGCCTCCTTTTGAAATGGAAATTACTAATAATAAAACTTTAATTTACAAAATAACTGTATATTTTATAAAGGCAATCATCAATGTAATATATGGAATTGTTCAATCACTATATCGTACACCTAAAACAAATAAAATACTGTATGTTAACTATACTGGAATTTTAAATAAAATAAAATAAGAAAAAATCATCAATGTAAAGCTGAAACTTACTAGGCTTTATATCACAGTAGTTTAAATGCAACAAATACTTAAACTATTTGTTGGACAGTAGCAACAGAATAACTTTGGAGTCGAATACACAGGTTTGATTCCCAGACTGCTATTTACCTGCAAGGTGACCATCAACAATGTATTTGGCCTCTCTGAGCCTCAGTTCCCCCTTCTGTTAAATCGGGAATTACAATACCTACTTTAGTTTAAAGAGAAATACTCCCAACTACTTACTAAATGGGGGAAAGGAAAGTAGTGTTTGGAAAATATCACTCTTTTACCTATACCATTTGAATTTTCTGTATGATTTGAATTTTTTTTACAACTTATAATTTTAAAACACAATGGAAAATTTAAAAATAAAAGCATCCACTTTATAGGGTACTTATGGAACCATTTTGTAAGATATTTATACATAGGAGGCTCTCAAACATAATTTCCTCACTACTTCCATAGCCTTTCCAACTTTTGAATTCAGGTGAATACAACTTGGAAGAAGTTAAACATTTATTTTTCAGAAGGCTATGGCTATCAAGAAAGAGATAAACAGGGTAATAAAACTAAGCTTTCAAACCACTTTCCTCAAAACATACCAAGGAATTTAATCTGAAGAGAAAAAAATGTCCATATATTTACTGATGTTAATCACTTTATTCTAAAATTTTAGGGTTTGGGGTTTGGTTTTCATGGCGGTTTTTTGCAATGTAAAATGATAATACCATCAAGTGAAAAGGAAATCTGGTACCTTGATTTTTTTTTTTTTTTTTTTACCAACAAGACAAATTCAGGATTCAGTTCAGAGAGTATTTTCCACTGAAAAACAACATACAAATATAAATAATGATACATTTATCTAGCAAATAAGATAAAGTATCAGCTGCATCTTCTTTGAGAGCACACTGAGATAGATGAATATAATCTAACGATCTAGGTTGTTGCTTTATACTTTGTGGTATATTGTAAGAATTAAGGACATTCTTTTCCATATTCTAACAGAGGCATAAAGTGAATGTCAGGAAGTTGTTTTGCAGATCAAAAAGGTGCCATTTTAAACCACCAAAGTACACTGGAGCCACTAAAGTTGGTACTGTGGCCTTTGTTTGGTAGCTTTTCAGAAGACTGAGTCATAGGACTTACATGAGTCTTACCTACCCATAGGAGCCTATAACTTTAGCATTGCTCATCACATATGTGTAAGTACAAAATTAACCCTCATGTAGCTTAAAGTTTACAAATCCTATTCTGGACCACTTAACACATATATTACTGAGAACTTCCTGGAGTATTATTATTCCGTTTCTATCGTGCCTTTTTGTTTTTAAACTATTTCAAGAACATACTTTTAAAACAGGGAAACACGGTCAGTAAATGTTACAAAGATACAATGATTCACATAACTTGACATTAATGAATGGCTGCCATGGAGCAAAATTAAAAACTTAGTTTTTTGACTAAGGCCAGTGGGTAAGGGATTCCCCAGCTCCCAGGCTTTTTCCTTTCCTGAAAGCCACCTCAAAAATCCTACTCCGAATGACATTAAGTCCTTCGCAGTCCCCGCAGTCAGAGCCAAGCCCACAGCCCGGCTTTCAACCGCCGCTCCCGGGTCGCGGAGCCCAGCCCCGCAGGAACACCAGAGGGCAGGCCAGAGAGTGCAGGGCGGCCACCCGGCCCGAGGGAGTGCAGGCGGAAAGGAGGGACACCCGTGACTCACCAGGCCCAGCCCGCCGCCAGACCGCACGCCTTCACACACACCCCCCCCCCTCTCCACGGCGCGGCCCAGCCTGTCAGCGCCCCCCAGAGGCAGACAGGCCCCTTCCCGGGGCAGGCCCCCTCCCGGAACGGGCCGACTCCCCACGAAGGCCCACTCCCCTGGACGCGGTGGGGGCGCGCACTGACCTGAGACACCGCCTCCCTGCAGATCCGGCAGCCGGTGGGTCCCTCGCCCCGCCCCCAGGCCGGCGCGAGCATGCGCACTGGGCCCGCCCGCGCGCCTGCGCGCCCCCGAACGCCCCTGCAAGGCACGCGCCGCCGCCTGGGAGGCCGGGCGAGGCCGCAGCAGAGGCGGAGGCCCGGCTCCCTGGGCGGCGCGCACCTCCCGCCCTCCGCCCTGCCATTCACTGGCGACTTGGGCCCGTGGCCCCCAAAGTCCGTCCTCCCCGTTAGGCGGCGGGCGCCGGAGGGGAGGGGACAGCCCAGGGGGCAGGAAGCTCTAGCTTAAAAGGGCAGCCCTCGCCGGGCCCTTCCTCCCTCCCTTCGTCCCCGGGCCTCCCAGAGCGCCTCTGCTCCGCGGCCTCCGCCCCGCCGCCATGTACCGCTGCCTGGGCGAAGCGCTGCTGCTGTCCCGCGCCGGGCCCGCCGCCCTGGGCTCCGCGGCGGCCGACTCGGCCGCGCTGCTGGGCCGGGCCCGCGGGCAGCCC